TGGTGCCTCACTTCGGCTAGTGGAGGCTTTTCCGACCGGCTCAGTGCTATTGCGCTGGGCTAGGCACTCCTCACTCGCTTCAACATGCTTCCCAATCTCTGAAATACTTCTGAACTTCAAGTTACACCAAGGACAGGGAATAACAGTACTTTTGGGAACAAAGTTGTGCGCAAACTTTACGTGGTTAACCATGTTCGTCCCAGTCATAAAGCTCATTGGACACAAAGGACATAAGTATGGCGTCAGGCCAGTGTGGATGCGCTCATGCTGATCAAGATTGACTTTGTGTAAGAAGGTTTTGGAGCAACTTTTGCAAGAGAATGACTTGGTGCTTTGATTGTGCTTGGCCATATGCGGCTTCAAGCTACTTTGTGACATGCGGTGTTTGCAAATGGGACACTTCTTTATCGCAGGGTGCTCCGTCGTGTAATGCAAATCCAGCTCAATAAATTCGTCCATGATGACCAAGCACACCGCGCAAACAGGCGTCCCGCCGTGTCTACGATTAATGTGTATTTGCATGTCACTAGTTTTTTCTGTTAATTTGTCACACACCGGACACTTTAGAGCCGGATGGTTGTCCGCGTGATTTTGCAGAGCAGCTTGTGTCTCAAATAGCTTTCCGCACAGGTGACAGCAATTGTGGAAATTTATCTTATGATTTCGAAGCTCCCCTTTGGTTTTGTACTTTGCCTCGCAGAGGTGGCACTTGTTACTTTTACTTGAATATTTTTTGTGATCAATACGCATGGGTTCGGTTATTTGTAAGTTTACAGGCTTTGATGGGCCGGCAACAGGCTTAGATGGACCAGGTTCATTTTTCACCGTCTCTGCCAGAAATTCTTTGGTTTCCAATTCTCTAAGACTGCTCACAGCACTAATGATTCTCGTAATTTCTTCTGGCGTCATACGGGACATAATATCAGCAGCGAGAGTTTGTGTGTCTGTTGGAATTTCCACTTCATCATTGCTCACCTCTTGCTTCAACTCCTGCTTGACCTTCACACCATTAACTGGAGCATTTGGCTGCTCACTAGACGAGCCTTGATCAGTGCTGCTTTTTCTTGATTGGGTCCCTGCTTCTGGGTCTGGCATGCCAGGGTGCTTTGTGCTTACGTGAGAAGCCAGTGATGCTCTACTGGCCAATCTTTCATTACAGTAACGGCACTTGGGGTGCAACATATTCATGTGGCGATTGTAGCTGTGCGAGTTGTTCAGGACGGCAGAGCAAATGGTGCAAGACTTGGGGATCTTGAGGTTCACACCGTGCAGCTTTACGTGGACCACTAAAGCATGAAAATTTTCTGATATGGCATTGCACTGGTAGCATTTTTGAGTTCCCTTTTTGTCTACGTGTTGTTCCTTCATGTGCTGATTGAGTAATGAGTGGTCTGTGAATAATTCTGGGCACAGGGAGCACTTTTTTTTAGTGTTACTTGAAGCCTTTGTAGACTTTGTACGAGAACTTTTATCCCTTAGTTCCTGTGGTGGAGGTACTTGAGGAACTTGAGGGCGGATCTCAATTGTGGCGTTCAGACCATGGTATGCATCCTTGTGTTTTTCAGCCCAGTGCATCATGCGGAAGTTCAATTTGCAAATACTGCAGAAAAAGGGAGCTGTTATGTCATTGTGGCTGAACGTGTGCTCCTTCATCTTTGCTTCAGACATGGCGACGTATTTACATTTCTCGCAAACATATTTACCGCCCTTGTGGAGCTTCATGTGCACATCCAGCGTGTGAGGGGGAGTATTTTTATCACACAATTCGCAGGTGACAAAGCTGAGCCTCTTTGTTTCATTTTTCTTTCGTTTCTTTGCCTCTTCATCCACGATTGGTTCCTCCGTATTTATCTTCTGTGCACTGGCTTCAATCTCTCTCAACTCGGCCAGCAATTTCATCTGGGCAACTTTTTCCTTGTTTTCCTCTATTTGTTTTAAGTGCTCCTCTATGTGCTTCTCCAGAGCAGTGCGTTCGGCAAACTTTCCATTGCAATAGACACAAATCAGCCCCTTAGGGTTAACAGGATTTCGCTTCCTCACAGTGCAGCCCTTGCTCTTGTGACTAATCATGCCAACCATTGTTTTCAGCACCTTGTTGCATCTGCTACACTTGTACGTCTTGTCTTTATGAATGTTATCCATGTGATGGGCCAACTGCAGCGGAGTGTTAAACGTCTCAGTGCACTGCCTGCATCGGTGGATCCACTCCGGATGAACTTTTATTCTGTGACTCTGCAGCTGCTGCTCATTGGAGAACTTTTTGCCACAGGGACACTCGGATCGGTGCTTCAAGCGCCTATGTTCGCGCAATTCCTCCCTTTTTTGAAACTTCTTGTTGCAGTCGATGCACGCATGGGCTGATCCGCCCCGATAAAAAATTATTTGTCTGAAGGGATCAACGGAAGGTTTACTTGGCGAGATTTGCTTTTCGGAAAAGAAGCCTTTTGGAGGTCTTCCTCTGCGTTTGGGAGTTGACGGCGTGTTGTGCCTGATGATATGATTTTCTAAACGGCCCTTGTCTGCAAAAAGTTTTTCACAGAATTGGCACTCGTAGGGCATCGACCCAACATGCAGCAGCAGGTGCTGTTTGTAGGCGTCCCTGTCAGTGCATAGCCGCTGACATATGCAGCATCGAGGAAGGTTTTCTTTGTCCATGTGTTTTTTCTTAGAGTGCTCCTCCAGCTCCTCCTCCGTACTTGCACGGAAGTAGCAAGTGGGACATTTGAATTTGTGCTCCTGGCTGATGTGCTGTCGGGTGTCGCCAAGCGTCTCAAACAGGTCCTCACAGTGGCGGCATTGGTACAGGGGCGCTCCAATCACGGGATGTGGACCAGGGTCAGGTCGTGCCACCACCGCCAGAGGCCTGCAACCATCAGACAGTCAGCCTCTTGCCTCCAAATCTTGAGGGGTGGGTACGTGGGTGGGCAGTCGTATTATTGCTATTCGAGCTCAAGGATTTCTTTCAATTGAGGGGCCTTAAAAAATAAATTGGTTTATTCTTAAATTGATTGATTCATTTCAATTTTCTACAAAACTATTTTCATCATACTAATTTAAAGCAATTTGATAACTTAATTCTTCATACATATAGATTAATAATGCACAATAAACCATATTTCCTATTCTTCTTACAATACTGTTCCGAAGCTTATTGTTTTTTATTTGCAAAAGATGTAATGGTTTAAATGGTTTAAATCAAATATAATGACTGAAAATAGAAATAAAAGAGCCAGCTTTATTTGATTAAAAAACAGCTTTTCGAGCCAAAATGATAAAATATTGAATTAATTTTTTACAGCCACAATGAAAGACTTTCATAATTTGAGTTTTACTCATACATAAATTTTCATATAATTAAGGGCAGTTTTTCTTTTTCTTGTGATTCGTCAGCCCTGGTTTTGAGGCGAAGCTTGCGCCGCATTGGCACTGAAAGGGCCTCTCGCCAGTGTGAGTGCGCTCATGTGTCTGCAGAGCGTGGCGCTGAGTGAAAGAGTGGCCACACTCAGCGCACACAAAAGGCCTTTCGCCAGTGTGCGTCCTTAGGTGGACAGTCAGCCCTTCCCGCCGAGCAAAGGGTTTGGCGCAGTGCTCACAGATGAACTGCTTCTCTCCAGTGTGCATTGTCTCGTGCTGGGAGAGTTCACGCCTGTTTGGGAATCGCTTTCCACAGGCGTCGCAGAGGAACCCTTTCTCTCCAGTGTGGGTCTGCGTGTGGGCCCTGAGCCGAGAGGGAGTGGAGAACCTGGCGTCGCAGTACACACATTCGTACCGACGAACAGCGTGGGTTCGCAGGTGCTCTCGGAACTTGGCTGCAGTCCCAAATCTCTTTGAGCATTTGCCACAGGTGAAGAGAGAAGCGTCCGGGTGGTTGGTGGCATTGTGGTCGGCCAACAGGTCTCGAGTGCCAAAGGCGGCGGAGCAGAGGAGGCAGTTAAAGGGCGTGGCCCCCGTATGGGTCCTCTCGTGGGTTGCCAGATCGGCCGGCGTGGCAAAAGCGGCCCCACAGGCAATGCACCCATGTGTCCAAACTGCAGAGTGCAGCAAGAGGTGAGAGTCAAGTCTGCCCTGGCTGCTGAACCCTCGGTCACATAGGTTGCACTCAAAGGGCCGAGCTCCAGTGTGTCTGGCCAGGTGGTCTGTAAGTTTCTTGGCGCTGCCAAAGGTGCGACCACACTCAACACATTGCGCTCGAAAGCCGTTCAGGGGTGGCACGTCGGTGCGAGGCAAGTGGCGGTTTGCTACGTGGGCGCGCATCTGGCCCAGGGTGGCCGTCATGTGGTGGCAGTGGGAACATTCAAATACGGGCCTGTAATACATTTGTTTCTCAGTCTGGGCCACTTCGACATAGGCCCTGGTTTGTTTTGCTACTACTATTTACTAAATTTCTGGCAAATATCATTATTCAACTGGCTTTTGCTAATTTCTGAACTACTGATCCTTAAATCCTCAGAGTTAGTGTTAAGAGTATTGCAAAGTTTTCATTTCTTTAGGTTTTTTTATATCCTAATATTCTTGACAATTTAAACCTATGCAATAATTTCCTATTTGTAGCTATAATTTCTTAGTTTTTAATTGTTTAAGTATAGTATTGTTAATTTTGAGACTTAACTAATTAAAATCTATAAATTTTCCGGCGAGTGTTTAATAAATTGCTATCTAATGTTCATCATAGAAATTCAGCATACAAGAGATCAGTTTTAAATTTTTACTCTAGAAAGAGTTTCTAGACAAATTAATTAAAACTATAAGTTGGAAATAAAATTCCTTAATTAAAAAAAAATACTAAGCATTTAAATTGGAAAAATCTAAAAACTCTTCCTAGCGTGAACTTTAATGGTTGTCTATAGAAGAGGTCCACAGCTGCATACAAGAGTAGGGGTTGGGGTCCCTGGCGTTAAGTTTGGGGTACTTTAAATAGCTAGCTACGTCTTCGGTCCGTCTGCAAATCCCTGACTACCGCGACGACAAAATACGGATAAAAATATTTTTTATGAACTCACCCTGTGTTCTCCTTGGGTGCGCTGCTAGCAGCTGGTGTGGGAGCAGGGGCAGTAGTGGCAGCAGGGGCAATCTCCTTGGATTTGCGGCCGCGCTTCTTGGCGGGAGGTTCTTCCTCAATCTCATCATCCTCGCCGTCAGATTCTCTGATGGGCCTTTTGGCGGCAGCACGTCTACTGGGCCTCTTTTCTGGCTGTGGAGGCGCCTCTTCCTCTTTGATCTGTATCTCGGGTTCAGTCTGCTGCTCTATTTGCTCGACGGGTGTGTCAGAGCGGAAGTCATCATCATTGTCTATTTCGTGATCTATACCATCATCATCATCTGGAATCTGCATTTGGGAAAAAAATATTATTAAGTTTTGATTTGTCTAATTACATAGGTAAAATTACAATAAGCATTAAAATAGGAAATACCTCGGGTTTTACTCCTTCCACCAGGGATACGAGCATAACCTCAGTCTTCACAGCTTTGTCTCTAAAGTCACTCATCAAGTCTAGTTTGTAGGCGCATTCACCACACATGTTTTTAGGAAGAGGATCTTCTACAGTCACCTGATACAAATAAATACGTATAATTATTTTTTCATAAAAAATTTAAATTATAGATGAAACTGATATTTTAAGAATTTTAATTGCACCGCTGTTTATTAACATCAATGTATAAAACGTATAAAACTATGAAAAGTGCGCACAAATACAAAATAAGGTGTGAATTGAAATTTTAATTTTTAATCTTCAGTTGAAAGTTTTTTTTATAAATTGAATTTTAATAAAACCGCAATGCATAATTCGATGAAACGGAAAATCAGGGTTTCTAATGAAAATGTGCCAGATTAATTGCATATCATTTGATTGAAGGAGTTGGTAATTAAAAAATTTCGCAGTCTTAACAAAAGTACTCTGATACCCGCGCAAGAAATAAATTCCCCTCATTGCAATGCTCGCATGGCAACTGGAAACGCAAGACACTTTCACCACCATAGCCAGGTGGCAGCACGCAAAAAGCAGCGCCCCTTGCTGCATATGCAACCACGCGGCGCATTGGAGTATGCAAGGCGGCAGAGCAAGACTGACTTTCATAATTATTTAAATTATTAGAAAAGAATTGTAGAGAAAATTCGTTCTCATCGCAATGATAAATTAAAAAAAAAAAACTATGTAAACCAAATGTAAACGTTGTTAGATTTCCACTTTTTCCTGCTAAACTGTTGACAAGTTTTACACACAACGTAAAATATTAATATAATAAAATTATTCTGCTCTTCAAAATTTTTTATTTTAGTTTTTTTTTAGAGAAAAATTGTAACTTGAAAGTAAAAGATCGTTAAAAAAATTGTGTTCACGGTTTACAGATTTGAAAGTTAAATTAATGCACTTATTAATAATTATTCCCAGCTCATAATTTATCACTGCAGAGTGCAGACCGTAGCCAAAACATAGCAAAATATATAAAATTCAACATAATGATCTGAATGGGTACATATGTTATCCTTGAACAAATCTCAAGACTGGCTTGCAAAGTAGCTAGACGGGAGTGGCAATAAATTGGCGGGATTTTCTAAACCACTTATTGCATGACGAAATTTTAATCAATGTCCTTTGGATGATTAAAAACGGAAAAAACGCTAAAATTAATTCTTCGATGAATTGTAAAAAATATGTAAAAATATAGTAATCAAAAAAGGAAGCATTGCAAGTGAAGGAAGGGCATGACGCAATGGCGCGATGGTCTGGCTTGCTAGACGCTCGTTGCCTGGCCGGGGCCCCTCGTCTCGTATTGATCAACTAAAAAGACCGGTCCGCCATTTTGCCAACGACCCTGGTCACGTATGTCGTCTACAAAATTCGGCGATAAATGCAGAGCCGAGGTCAAAATAATCCTTCTAAATATCATTCGCATCGGCGAACACGATTTGAAATCAAATTCGGCGCTAAAACTTCAATGGTATTCGGGAAAACGCGTTTCGACTAAAGACGCCGTCGGGTAGCAAGGTCGCGCCGGTTTTTCAAGTTGGAATTTCTGGTCTTACCTGTAGAGGAAGGCACTCGGAAATCTTCAGGGCGTACTTCTTGGTCAGCCCTTCACCTTCGAAAATAGCATGTCGAACGATGTTCAGTGTGTCCGTGCCGCAAAGGCGGCACATATCGCCGACTTTCGTGGACACGGCCATTGCGGCCTCGTCGGTGACCTCTTCTCAGCTCTCAGCTCTAAAATGCCGCGAGTGGCCGGCGATTAGCAGAATTCATGACAGTTTTACCGGTAATTATACCGGTGAACTAAATACCGATAGTCAAATTAGTTAATTTTTTGACGATATCGGAATAAATATGATTTTGAACTATTTTTCATGTCTGAAAAAGACATTTAAGCAAGTATTTTAATCTAAGAAAAAGATTTTTAAATGAAAAATTGTAAGCAGTTTACATCTTAAAAACCGGTGGTTGAGTATTTTTTCTTAAACCGGTTTACTAATAACGGAAGTGACGTCGAGATCAATAGTTTTGCTCGTCATAGTGTTGCCAACATTGTAAAAGAAAGCAAGTTTCCAAAAATCCGTCCCACGTGATTCAAGAAAGAACAATACAATACATTTGAAATTAAAATTACACTATTCAAATATCGTTATTTAGCAGTAAAAAAATATCGTGGTTTCGCAAAATATGTAAATTTTGTAAAATTTCAAAATAGATTGCATAGGAAAATAGGAAAGAACACACTTTAGTTATATTTGGGATTTTTTAAATTGTTTTGTTGGCATGAGATGAAAAGCGCCCTCTTATTGGTCCGAATAGAAGAAACATTACTGCCAAGATCAACAAGATGTATGTGTATAAATAATAATAATAAAGCCTTCATGATCTTCATCTTCAATTACGTCTTGATTACCTGCATGCAAAAATTGCAAGAAAATCGTGGATATCGGGCAAGAGAAGCAGATAATTTTCCCTTTATCCATCGCATTCGAGGTGCGTTTTGCGCAAATTTGTATTTTAATCAATTGATTTTTGTTTGTTTCACAGCACAGCTGAAAGATACATAAAATGATGAGTGAAGAATTATCTCATTATTTGCGCTTATGGTCCGTCTTGTTCCCCGGAATCTCCTGATGCTATTGGCTGGTCAATCCACAAGAAATAAATTATGTAATTATTTTAAAATTCAAAAGCTAAAATTTAAAAAAAAAATCTAAAAACTTTAAATTAATCCCTTTCAGAATTCCTTAAAATTTGAGAGAGCGTGAGCATGAGAAGTGGCTTAAATTTACATCACTAAAAAATTTTATCTATGTACCTATCACATCACTATGTATCCAGCACAAATTTACATAGCATTGACTGTTATTTTGGAAATTCATTTAAAGGTAAAAATTTCATAAACTTATTTTAAATCTTTTGCATCAAGAGCTTTAAATATCCGCATCAGATTCTCCAGCTGGACGCATTTTCTTCATATTGTTGTTGAGCAGTCGAACCTTTGCTGTTGACGGCAGCGTAGTCTTCTAGGAGGAGAGGACGTCTTGACCTGGGCGTCTTTCCAAAATCTCTTCTCAAAGACTCACTGTAAATACCAAAGTAAGAATCAGTAATTTAATTTATAAAAAAGACTGCATTGGTGATGTTGACAGGGTTGACAGAATCAAACCATAGCCAATGAAGAAAGCAGTTTATTGAACTTGGTCTGCACTAGCGAGTACATAGCGAAAGCGGTCCTCGGAGAGATTGTGATTGGTAAAAAGCCTACCTTTGTCATCACCCATTGAAGAGAGCTGAAAAATTTCAACCCTACCATCATGCTCAATCAGGGAATGCATTGCGACTACCTGACCTGAATTAATTTATTGTAAATTTGGATTTGCTAATTTCTTGTATTTAATTTCTTTTATATTATTTACTTTTTTCCACTTTGTAGTTATTCCGTTAACTGCTTTTGTCATATACAGCAGAGTAAGATCTTTCAATTTATGGACCTTTTCACAGTTGGATGAAACGTTGGACAAAAAGTCATCTTGATCCTATGTGACTTCTTTTCGACCAGGCATAAGGAGACATACTTGAGGTCTTGCCTACATACTCCAGAGCCTAATGTAGCGTTATGAAGGAAATTTTATGGTTGATATTCCTTTCAATGGGTAATGTAAGTTTAGTAAAAAAATTATTATTATTATTATTGTTGTTTATTCCTGTCCGACAAATATTACATACATGTTATATGCACAGATCACAAAGAAAAATTGAGATAACAATTTTTGGGAGGGAAATAATTTTTTTTTAATTTAATTAATTTTAACAGAGATGAAACTCTTGCCTTCATCCATGATGGGAGGCAATAAGTGACTCCAAGGTCCAACTGCTCACTTAAACACACCCACCCTTGGATTGGTGCAGCAGATCCACAAGGAAGTGTCTAAATGCATTAACAAAGGCATCAAGATGTTTGTGTCATCCTTGATAACTGTAATTTATTTATCAAAAATAAATGTGTACGAAAATAGCACAAAATATTTTTGCTGTTCGAATTGCTATTTAAAGTTCTGAATTTTGCTCAATTTTCTCTAGATGGGGCTTTACCCTTGTGGGTAAGGATAAAATCGGGAATTTCCCGTTTCCCGCGACATGGAAAATCTGTAAATTTTTATTTAATTAGGCAGTTTTTAACTTGATATTTTTGACATAACATCGTAGTTTTGCCAGATTTAGTTTGCTTAATACTATCAACTTTTATATATATAAAATTTCATTCTGTTGAAAGGGAATTCGCAGTTAGGAAGTGGTGAATGCATTTTTAAACTTAGAAATATTCTATTGTTGACATAAAAATTATAATTATTTTCTATGTTGAACTACTTTGCCAGTTTTAAATTTTTTATTAAATATTGACAGCATTTATTTTGCCAAGTAAATTTCACTAATCATTACCGCTCTAATTAATATAATTCCCTCTTGGCAAGTGCAGGTGGTTTATTGTTTAAATTAGCTGCAAAAGATGTTTATTGATATATCACAGAGACATTTGCTGACCATATCGAGATCCATCAATGATACATTCAAAGTTATTACATTTTATTCACATTAAATTTTAAATAAATTACCGTTCGGAAGCTATAATAAATTGTGTGTTCAAACAGTTTGATAAAGATTTTAGCTGAAATTCAATTTGCACTTGAAGCATTCAACAAAAAGTTCCACAGAACAATGGAATATTCAATGGGCGTCAGTTTTGTTTTCGTTCATGGAATATTGAGCGATGAATTAGGTGATTACTCGGACGCAGCACAAAAGGGCACACTGAACGGTCAGTGTTGTTTGTTGTGTGTTTTGTGCCGCGGTTTTGTACATTTTTTGTTTGACAAGAGCCACGAGCGTCCTCGGCTTGCTGCTTTGTTCTGGCCGTGCTCTCCTCTCGTTACGAGTGTGCATTAAAAAGCGCAGGCCCCATAAACAATGATTATCGCACAATGGAAATTCATCGACGGAAAACAACGCGCGCTCCGGCTGTTAAATAAGTGCGTGCCGCTGTGCATTCGTTAATTGCGGGCGGCGGCAGAGAGAGGGAGATGAGTTTTTGCTGCTTGACCAGAGGCACTATACTTATACTTGCCAGTGCAAAGAGCCGGAAGCTTTTAGCGCCGCGAATCCACTCGAAAAAAGGCGCGCCGTTTATTTTTGCATTTAGATTTTTTCCGGTGCTCTCCAGTGGTGCATGTGTTGTGGTGAATTAAAAGGGAACTTTTTTGTTATTTTTTCTTTGCTTTTCTTTCGCTTTGCTTCCACATTTAGAGAGGGCAAAGAGACGGTCGCTCTGTTTGCGTGAGTTGGCGAAGCTCATTGGCATTCGGGGCAGGCGCGAAACGTGCCGAGTCTTCGGTTCGCGAGATCTCCTCGTGTATTTGCCTAATTGATTCGAGATGCTTTTAAAGGCCGGGAAAAACAAGCCATCTTTGATGCTGCCAGCACTCAAGGGAAGCTTGCTCTCGTTCGAGTTGCTCTGCGTGTATAAATTGTTGCGAGCGCCAATCAAAAATCAAACACTGCACGCGCCGCCGAGCACTTATCGAGGATTATTGCCTTTTTCCATGTAAATGTTCGCAGTCTCCTCCGTCTTCAGCTTGAAATGATTGAAGATTTAAGGTGGTAGAAATGTAAGACTGCTATTTTTAATCTTTCAATTTAATTTAGATATCAATGAAATTTTGATTTAATGAAACAAATTTATGAAAAAAAAGTGATGGCTAGTAAAAATTACCTGATTGTGAGAATGAATTTGATTGGTTTTTTGGTGCCGAAAGATATTTTATTTGTTTAGACTGACGTGTTATTTGTGCTCGTTGAAAATGAGAAAATTATAAAATTTGGACTTCTTGATTTCATTTTTTGTTTTGGTGGCATGATATCAATTCAAATAATATTGAAATAATAACCAAATTTGGTCTTATTTGTGTTTTTATTTGTCTTTTAATTGAACATATAATATGGAAAAGTTAAACAAATTTTAACAAACTATAAGTATAAACAATGTGATATTTTAAGTATTTCAAGATGGGTTTTACTTTTCAATTTATACAATCAATAATTTAAATATTTGAACGATTTGAATTTGAAAAGAATTGATATATGTATCTGCAAGAAGCATGTAAGAATTTATTTTTAATTAATTAAATACCATGAAAACTTTTCTTCTACATTTTTATATTATTTTTCTGAGAAGTAGAAAAGAAACAGAGTAAGAGAGAACGATAAAATTTACAAAAAAAAACTCTTTATTCAGAATAAATTATTCTGCCAGACACTTTTGAAGAAGCATCAACAAAAGGGGATGATTAAATAAGCTCAATATATTAAATTATTTTCAGGCTTAGGTTTTGAGTTAAAATAATGGAGCGTGTTTAAATTTAAGACATATTGCTTTATTTGTATAGTAACATGTGCTATATATTTATTTTGTATACCCATTATAGCTATTTGATTTTTAAATTCATAATTCCCATTATTATTTTTATAATTCCCCAAAATTGTTCTTTTGATCAGTTCAGTTAATTCACACGTAGTAACAACAACAGCTTAGTAATTAATTCATTTTATCAGAAATCGTCAGTTGCAGTATCAAAAAATGTTATACAGTAACCCATGCATTTTGAGGAACACTTTCACATTTTGAAGTTTCTCTCGCTGAAAAAAAAATATTAGATACACACAAGATATAAGACACTTTCCTAAATAATGAAAAGCTGGCTCACAGACTTAAACAGAGAGCATTAATAGATATTTCTTTCATCATTGTTGAGATCTCAGTCTAGTTTGCGATGAAATGCGCGGATAAATTCCTTATTTTCACCATATTTATTTAAAAAAAAATACCAATTCTACTTGAAATAAACTTTGGAGACATCTTTTTTATGGCAGCAAAATCATCAAGGCGCAGACAACACGAGAAAAATAATGTGTCAAGAAATGTGGTGCGCACCACCACGCATATTATATTAATAAATTAATTCAGCTGCGTATAATTGACGCTCAACAGGCAGTTTTCGAGGCGCTATTCATGTATACAGAGGAGTGTTTTAGCGACAAACGTCGCTGTCAGCGGCACACGCGACGTCTGGTTGCGCGAGGAAAACGCGTCCGTTCGCACACGCACACAACTGGTAGACGTCGTGGGCGGCGCGTCCACCCTGTCCGCCACCCCTGCTCACCTCTCGAAGCCCCGGCAAGAACACGTTGGCCGCCTCCAGACGCACCTGAGTGGCAAAATTCGAGAGAAAGGTCAGCGGTCATTGAGGTTTGAGGTCAAACTCACCGAGCCGGCGACAGACTGCAACTTCAGGTCTGTCAGACAACTGGCACTGATGTCGCCAGCGCGCGACTCTATCGAAACACCCTGAGGCGCCTTCACCTGGAGGGACCTTGTGGGAGACTCGAGTCTGAAGATTCAAGAAAAAATTTCTTTTTGTTATTTCCATCTTATATTATGTTACCATAAAAATATAATTATCCTTTCACTTCATGCATAAATAAATTAGAAATAATTTTTCAAAGCAATAAACACAGACTAAAATGCTAGAATCAAATGGAGAATCTAGTATTGCTTCTAAAATTAATTTTTAAATTTTAATTATAATTCAATAAAAATATTTTTAATAATAAAAAATTTAAAAATTTTTAAAATAAAAAAATGATATTATTACTTTAAATATTATTTTTTTTTTCGATAATAATTTCTAAACTTTTTTGTGGTAAATTAAGATAAGTTATAATAATTATTTAATTATATTATATTTTACTCACCTTAAATCATAGCCTGAATCAGCTCGCACTACTGGCGTTTGGACGCTGCCCTCAAAAACTGCTCCTCCTGTGACTTTTAAGCTGTCTGCACCAACTTCGACTCCTTCCCTTGTAGCTGAAAAGAGCACCTCTCCTTTGGGATCAGTGACCTGAAAACCTCGCGCCAGGCACTCGAGCTGATCACTCCCTGCACCATAAAATAGCAAAAGGGACCAAATTAAATTAATTTTAAATCATTTATTTTTCAAATTAATACATATAACATAATAAGGATTAATAAAGAAATGAAAGCCTCATCACTCCTCAGGCAGCTAAGTATCATATTGGCCTGAATGATTTTAATTTCTGCTTTTTTTACCACACCATTTGTAGAGTTAATTATTGTTGATACCTATTTTTTTTTTTTTTTTTTTTATAAACATTTCTCCTGTTAGAATTTAAAAAAATCTGTATGAATTTTATAAAATTAATGGTAATTTTTGCTAAGTAAAACAACCCAATTGAATTGACAAAATAAAATACTCTCCACATTCGCGGGTCACGCTTTAGCTAAAGTAAATTTAAAATTTTTTTACCTAGAACAAGTCTGCTGACTGTTCGACCTAGATGATCTCGAGCACTGACCGAGAAGTTGTGCGACGAGTCGATGCTGATCGGCGCCCCTGGCCGCGAACGGATGGACGACGCAATCAACGCGTCCAAGACCATGGCGCGGCCCCGAAGCTGCAGGCCGTCCTCGACCACTTTTAATCTGCCCATGCCCTCCTGCAAGTTTAGAAAGTCACGTTTAACATTCACTTATAAATAAATGTAAATCTTATATTGAAAAAAAAGAGACACAATCATGCAGAAAATTGACTTTGGTCTCGCGAGAGACTTCTTGTGTTGTGTCTCACAAGAATGCACAAAGCGAGCGCGAGTCTCGTGTCGGCCAGAAATATGAAGCCTCAGCGGATATTCTCTCACTGCACAGGGCCATTACTCACTCACTGGCGCCAAATATTAATTACGAGGGGCCTCAACAACAGAAGTGCCGCGCGCGATATACTCATGCCCCAGTTTAATCTTGCCACTGGCAAATGGGCATTCCGCCGGTTTTACACGCCTGCGACGACTCTGATGTGATGAACCAAGCACAGCGAGGGGTCCTTTTGGAACAGATCAGAACGTATATCGTTGGAAAATTATTGCAAGTGCAACAAACGTCTCCTCATCACATTTATTCCTTTCATATTGTTGAAAGTGAGACGGATGTGCCCAAAATACGCAAAAGTCTGTGATTATCAAGTGGTTGTTTCTTCAAGTGTAAATTAATAACTAATATATAATAGTTACTTTTCATGTCTTATGTATAATGTATGAAAAGATTTCTTGATTTTTATTATAACAGAGATATTTTAAATTTTTCATCAATTATTGGCAAAACCAATTTGTACAACTCATGTACAAATATTCAGAATTTATTAAAATTTCATTCTCAATTTAAATTTCCTAAATTACAACTAATCAAATTGATTATCTGTGTTGAAGGTTCGTGTTTATTAAATTTTATCTACGCGATTCATTATTCATGATTTGTGAAAATTTATAAATTTATTATGTGGTCTTCTTGATGTTTAAGTATATAGTACAGAAAAGAATATTGCAGAGTATTGTTCTTTTCTTTTGTAATTAAACATCAATAGGAAACAATAATGATACAATTCCTAAACTTCATCCAGGAATCGCCGAGTTAAAATTAACTATTATTTTTTTTCAAACAACGAAACATTAATTAAACTTGGCAGACTTCTAAGGAAAACATTTTCGCCCCTGGAAATAGCTCCTTGAGAACGACTCCAGATTGGTTTGAAACTTAATTAGCACTGGTAAAGCACACCAGTAGAGGAAATGAAAAAAGGGGGTAGAAAAAAAGGAGGCAGCGCTCCCGTATTTACGGTTAATTTAAATGGGACAGGTGAGCAAATTCACTGTTAATTAAGCAGGTGCTTCTTCTTTTTTTTACTTTGACAAGTGTTTGCTTTCGTTCGCGTCGGAACTCAATAAGAGTGCGCAAACACGGGCGCAAATTATGATTAAATCGCGCTGCGGTCTTTGGAGCAGTAAAAATGCTGTAGAGGGGCCGCGAAATAATCGTGAAAAGGCGTAGTATCGCATCACGGCTATTGCTGCCATTATGATCTAATTTGGCCTTTTTGATCTTCCATCGAGGCGCGAATAAAGTGGATGAGCCAATAAAAGCGGCAACTACTATCACTCCGCCACTCTGGCTGCCGAAAATGCGAACACGCAGGGGAGCATAAAGCGTTGGCGCGTTTTGCGGAACGAGCCGCTTTCTGCTCTCATTTCTCTCAACCCCTGAAACGGCTGATTCATGCACTCAAGCATTCAAAATGCCACTAGGTGCTCCGCTCAATTTATCTGTCGAATGTGAAATGCCCTTTATTCGTCTTACCTGGGCAGTGAGAAATCGACTTGAGTATACACCCGCTCTCTCTCCCTTTCATACATTTATAACCCTTTTATTGAGTGCTTTTCCTGCGCTAAAGAGCGCTACAGTTTCTATCAAAATTGATGTTTTGGATAAATCTGATATAATGCTCTTAATGTCTGCTTGTTTCATTGGATTATGTTAAATTCTCTATGATTATTTTTTTATTCTTATTAATTAATAAAAGCTCTCAGCAATGTGTTGAGATGTCTTATAATCATTTCCAAACTTCGAATGGAAGAATTGGGATTTTTTTATTCCGATATTTTTTCTTCTTTGCCCAATAATAGACGAAATTGGGGAATTTCGGTAAGAGGTGGAATAAACAGGAAGTTTTTTCACTTAAAGGAGATTTTTGAGTAAATAGTAAATTTAAGTTAACAAGTGTTTTTTTTTCTTTTCAAAATATATAAAAAATTTTAAATTTTTTATGCATGAACTTTAAAATAGGTGATAAGGGTGGACAACCCCAGCTTACAATAAGGACATAAGGGCTTCTTTTATTGATTAAGAGAAACTGACTATGAAATTCGGCTTTCAGTATTTTATTTATATTTCCTTCTCTACTTGTGTTGCTTTATAATTAGACGGTTGTTTGTTTTCAATTAATGCAACGAAGAAAGCGGAAGCCTGTGTTAATGCGTGTTTTTTTTTTTAAAGATTAAAATATCCTCAAACAGAAGAATTTCGAGCAAAATGTGGAGTAAAAAACACATTTAAAAAAAGTGAATTTGCTCTGTTTAAAATTACTGCGTACACTGTTTTTGCGAGACTTGCTTCACAAAAAACCTTGGTAGCGCAGACCTAACAAACTATTAATCATTGGAGCAGTGTCGGAGGTGCCAAATTTACACACTTTTCAGCACAAGCCCCCCCTTTGTTCCGTCTCGAATTCACGCGGCCGGTCTGCAAGACAATGAAAAACCGCCTGCCCGTTCTAAATTTGCCCCTTCAACTGCCGCAGTTTATTTTGCAGAGAGCCGCTGATGTTTATTTATAAATAAGTTATTGATGAATGAAAACAACCAAGAATTTATGCGCCGGTCGGGCGTGCATTAATTCACTCACTTTGTTTGGACTGTGTTTACACTGATTCATTTTGTATTAATGCACCTGAATTATTAAACGTACACCACCGTCATATCATCGCGGCATTTACAGCAAATGAAAATGTAACACACCGGCCGAAGTATATGCAAGCAGCGTTTTGCATCAAATTAAGTTAAAATGGGTCAGTTGAGCTGCAAAGGGAACTTATTTTCCGGTCGGCACCAATATAACATCCACTTTAAAGGGTCGGTGCTGGGGCGCGTGTAATGTCATCAGGAGATATTTAACACGGGCCAATTTGCGCCTCTCATTATTGATGGACCACACAGGCGCGCATCAGCCTCCCCTCCCCGTCCCATTCGCATATATTGATAATAATGGCTGCTGTATTATGCGGCCTAATGGTTATTTTTGACTCGGTGCTGGAATACACCTATAATTATCACCGCGAGCAGGCTCTCACATTTCAGCTCCAAATTTTATTATTACAGCCCCCTTGCCTCCATGCAAAACACAGATGTCATTTTGAAGTATCGCATGTCTGTGGAAAATTAATGAACACCTACGTGGAAATGGGAGAGTGACTCAATTTCCTTAACAAGCAGCACTATCAATTTGCAAAAAATAGCAACGAAAAGAAACTTTGTGAAAATTAAATCTCATTAATTGAATCAATAAGTACCTTTTTGAATAAAAAATTCATTAGCATATTATCAAATATTTGTATAAAAAATTATTTAGAAATCGGGCAAAATCAACTTTTTTTTACGATGTTTTACATTGAGAGTTTAAAGTTTTCATTTATTTAAACTTAAAATTTAGATTTTTCGATTTAAATAAAAACAATTAATGCTTCACGCGAAACCTCACTAACTAATTTAATTAATTTTTGTTGCGAAGATTACAAATAACATGAATTATTATTTTGCGTAAACTATGAATTATAAATTATAATACAAGTCGAAAAATAATATTTAAATTTAAATCTTACCGATGAGAACTGCATGACTTTGAGCAGCCATAGGGTAAGGGATAAATTGATGATCACCACCGCCACCAGCACGACAATCAACAAGTAAAGGCATCGCTTCCGCCATCCATAGATGCCCACCGAGCCCCGGACACCCTCGCTGGGGCCCATTGCTCTGAAAACAAACCGAACACACATATTAACGCTTTCAAAGGAAAACCACAATTTTGTTGAATATTTTACACTCGGTTGATGACGCAAAAGCATAAAAACTAACTGTCGTTAATTTGGATAAAAAATATTAATGAATGTGCAGTTGTCAAATCAGGACATTGATAAATTAAGATGAATCTGAAATTTTGGAACTTGAAATTAAACACGAAAATCTATTTAAAAAAAAAATACGAGCGGATTTTTACAGTGTGTCTCGTCGCCATCAACAATTTCCAATTAAAATTTTTACACATCCCCATGTCATTAATATGCAAAATCCAATTTTTGGGAAGGAGCATGTATGTATATAACGCGACTAATCAATCATCCCCAGGGATGGCAAGCAAAAATGATGTCGACCACAATGGCAATTTACCACACCCAGCATCACAACCGAGAGCTAATTAATTGCTTCCGCGAATATCGCAAGAGCCAAAGTGAGTGTTTTGCATTTCAAAATAGGCCGCGACGCCATTAACCGAATAATTATTATTTAACGCGAGATGGCTTTAAAAATGGCTTTAATATAATCATATAATGTGTTTATCTATGTTGTTGGCAAAAAGCCATGCGTGGTCAAAATGAAATCTTCCTAAATCTTCTTTGCTCTTGTTTACGATCTTTTAATAGATATAATTTTTTAATTCATCAACTTATAAGCCCAGCTACTTTTTTTAAAATGAACGTTTGATGAAGGCTGATTCCATGACTGAAATTATGTTACATTTTGGACACAAGAATAATATAAGTCTTAAAAAAATGTTGTTAAACTGATATTTTGTTGAATAGAATTTGGTTTTTTGGATTTTTCATATCTCACCATCACACATTAACTTGTTGCAGGAGAAACGTTTGAGGCACGAAATATAATATAAATTTCTTACGTTTTTATTTTAATAATTGGTCTCACAATTATTGAAAATAGATCCACTAGCAATTATAAAATGCATATTACATGAAAATTAATTATTATTATTATTACTTGCTTACATAGGAAAAAATTGCGGAAGTTGCAGTGAAAACTGCTAATAAAAGCATATAGTGGGAACCAATGCATAAATGCAAATTTACAATTGATTTGGTAAAAAGTGCAATATTGTTTTGCGAAAAAAGCTGAAAACTAAATTGTATCATCCCCAAACACAAATATGACAACGCATCTTGTCAACAACATACTACAAGTCCCTTGTGTGTGCAAACTTGAAACTAAAAGCAGCATTATTATGATAATATGCACACAGGTTCAATACCGATGATTTTGAGCGTACCGTACGTTCATTCGCGGCTAATTATCCGCGCGTTTTATGGGCGCGGCTTTTACGAGGCCGTGAAGCCGGCCGCGGATTTTACTGCCGGCCGTAAACACACACACGCTCGCATCCGAAAAACCCCAATCGGCTTCTCTTCTCTTCTCTCCAACATCGGCCATATGGATTTCTGATCGCGGCGCGTGCGGGTGTAATTAAAAAGTCAACAAGAAGCTCTGTCTCTCTCAGTGTGTGCCATTCTCTCTTATCTGCAGCGAGACACGCGGCCTTAATCGCCGGTAATTGCCTCGGAATTTGCATTCAAATGTCTCTGTTGCGCCCTCTCGAAATAATTATCTCGCTCGCTGCAGAGTTCTGCTCTCACTCGCCGCCGCCGCCGCCGCCGAATATTTATAATATCGAGAGAAGTAGCAAGAGACTTTTTACATGCATGTGAGAGTGCTCTTGCGCTTTTGCTGCGGGGGTAGTGGAAATTTCAGCAATTCGCCCAGATTAAGACGGTGTCTGCGTGCCAGAGTGATATTTTTCGCGATTAAGCTTGACGACGACGCGCGTTTTGCATGGAAATTTTCGTTAATAATGAGTATTTAAGTTTAGTGTGTGGAGCTTCCGCGTTAATCCATTATTAAAAGTTATTTTATACTTAATCTTTCCTATGCGATTTAACTTTTAAAAAATTCAGCACTTTTAGCACTCGTTTCAAAAAATGGGTTTTTTCTTTATATATTTATGCCAGCAAAATTTTGATTAAGAAATTAAATATCAACACATGTCCTTATAAATTACACAAAAAAAATAATGGTGAGGCGAAATTAGAATAATTTTCAGGTATAACTGCTAAATTCATACTAAGCAGGTTGTATTTTTTAAGAAAAATAGTTGAAGTGTAAACTGATTTTTCAATTTCTTAAAACTTTTACAGTTTTAATACACACTTATACAAAATATAAAATGAATAAAAAATATTAAAAAAGTGAATAAAAAAATATAAGTTCAATGGAGGTACATTATGTTGGGTTATACAACAACATTATTAATGTTATAATATTTTTAAAAGGCAAATATTTTTTAATTAAAACATAAGCTTTAATTATTGTATGAATATATCGCCAAATTTGAAAACATCGACTTTTTCACTTAGGCAGATCAAAAGCATTTCAAATTTTTCTGCCCTGCTAATTTTATTTGCTTTTAAAATTTGCCTTGAAGTATTTGCTTTGGTTTCTCATCAAATAAAATACTAAGTTCAATCCAAAAATATTAATTTATGCAACAACTGGATTTCTGCAATGGGGCAAATAATACACCTTTCTTTTTACATGGGCCCTCAACCTAAAGCAAGAAGTTGGAAAGAAAGAAAAAAACTAAAAAATTCACTAATTGAGAAGAAATTCTCAAAATAGTTCATTGAGAGACGGGGTATAACTATAAAAAGTTATGCAATACATAAAATAAATCTCACGTTTTTAATGTCCTCTTTTTATTTGAAAGGATAATCAAGGATTTTTTTCAATGAGATGAAGTTGTGTGACATTTTTTTCAATTCTTTTAGTGGCACAATAACAAGTAGTTTATCAAGGTTATTAATTTTATTATACTTGCAATTAACTTAACAGAGGTTTGTAAGAATATATAAATGAAAAACTCTATAGGAGCTGCCGCAAGTTAGTCGGCGGGCACAGGCGCGCGATTGTGCGTCCGTCAAACTCGCGCCCCCTTGCCACTGCATAATATCCAATAGACACAATAATATACACAGAGAACATTATGAACAGGGGATTGTGTGCGATTAATTCGAGGGTGTGTGGGATTGCAACTGGATCTATATATTCATGGGGGTCGATGCATATCGCGCGATTGATTGTCCGAATTAAGCGATTTCGAGCGTCACGAACACCTTTTCCTGTCGCTCATTGTTTCTCCCTCCAACAGCTTTATTGCTCGCGCGAGCTGTTGTTCCGCAAACATGCAACCAAAAGAGAGCTGCGGGGAATATTATACCTGTCCTGATGGTGGCGAGACGCCATTATTATATAAGTGAGGGTGTGTTTGCAGGTCTCATTGTCACGCCGGTGTCGGGAGTAATGAAATTCCGATGCCGCCATAATTCACACACGCGGCGCCTGCCTGCTTTCGCGCGCTCACTTTTATCCGAGGAATGTCAAATTACCTCGAGGAAATATGCCTCGCCTGTCACTGCCCCTGTCTCATTATCTCGCTGAATTTTTCAACGTGCCACCCCCGTTTCCTCCAGATCCTTTTCTCCTTTTCCCGTGGCAAACCCCTTTCGCTTTCTGACGGCGAAAGCAGGTACGTGCGGAATCCAATTCGCTTGCCCACCAGCAAACGAACATTCGAATATGTTTGACTATCATCTAAACACCACAATAGTGTCCCTGGCACATTTGTACCAGTAGGTCAGAAACAAGGAAGCTAAAAAAGAGGTTTGAAAAGTGAAATTAAAGTGTTTTTTTTTAATATATAGATCGAAGAAGAAAATTGATACTCATTAGCTATACTTTTAAAGTAAAACCAAGCAAATTATTTTTGTAATAAACTCTCACCATTTTAAATTTAATAATACATAAAATACTTAAAAACATTTTATTTAATAATTTTTAAGAAGTAACCTAAATACTATTGATGTTTCTCTTTGTTCCCTTTGTCTTCTTAGTATCAAAGTAAGTCTGTGGAAATGAAATGAAATTCCATTTCAAAGCCCAATATATTTTACTAATTGTAAGAGAACTTCAATTAAAGCACGAAAGAACCCTCTAAAAAGTGATCACGTCTCCCCACAAGCTTTTTTATATGCAACTTTAAATGTATTAAGAAAATCAAAAGTACTCATCAACAGTTTCCGTTCTGCGGCGAATAATTTGAATACAAAAGCGAAAAAGTGAAGAGTGTATAAGAAAGAAGGGAGATCAAGGCTAATAAATCACGGAAGACCATGTAATTGAGATGAAAAACAAGGTCCACGCTCTTGAAACAGTCGATTGGCTCGGCACCGCTTTGAAGAGGCCACTTTTGTACTTTATTTCAGGCATATTCGAGACATTTTCCGCTCCATAAATCCTGATTGCATGTCGCTCGCATTTGCTTTTCTCCCCGGCTCGACGGTTATATGTGCACGAAAAAAATGCAAATTAGATTTTTGCCGGGGATTTGTCGGGGCGAATTAAAAGTCACAAAGGATAAGAAAATGGGCGGCTGATCGGATTAGAGCTTAAGAGGATCTGATGGAAAAATTAGAATTCGGCTTTCTGTCGAAGCCTCTGTTCAAAATGCGTTTTTTCACAAGAATAGGGAAATTACTTGAATTGCAAATTTAAAGCGGTTTTTAACCAAATATGTTACATGGGAAACTCATAATTTAGACACTTTTTTGTGGGATGATTTTGATTATTTAATTTCATTGTTTTTGTGTACAAAAATGTAACAGGTTTCTTTACTTTTTCCTAAGCAATAATAAGATTTTGCAGCTCTTTTTATAAAATAAATTTTGAATTTCAATTTGCAAAGATCAGAAAATGACATTTTCGAAATGTATTTTAGAAGAAAAAACTGATCTTGTTGAGGTTTAAAATTGGTACTAGGTCACAAATTTATTTTCACAGTATTATTCACTACATTATAGACTAACCACATACGCAGTTTGTTTTTTAATTATTTGGTGTTTGCTGTTTGCGAA